TTTAAATTTTTAAGAGCATTTTCTTGTTCTCCAGATGTGCTTCTCACTACCTCATAAACACAATCTCTTTACAAACTCTTTGGGGGGATGTGAACTATGCCTTGTTTTGACGTTGTCATCTCCCCCAGCTTGTGTCAGCTTCGTCTGAGTCCCTCTTCTCTTTGGTTTATATTGCACGGTGTCCTGCCTGGTAGACGCTTTCCTCGAGCAGCAGGTGTGCCTTGCCTGGCTGTTACATTTAAGAATGAGGTACTGAGAAGCTGCTGGGATGGGCTATGAGGCGTGATGTTGGGTTGGACTCCTCAGCCTGGGCCCGGGTAGGGACTGTGTGCGTCTCTGGTCAGCAAGTCTGTCCTCCTCACCAGGGAGATGACCCCCTGAGGATGCTCCAGGGGGACAAGGATATAGAAACCTCCCGCAGCAGGGCGTCCACTTGCACTTGGCCTGGCGCCTCCCCCTGCCTGCGTAGCTCAGCCCATAGGCCCTTCATGCACCCTTTCCAGGGCCAGGTCTCATCTGGTTGTCCAGGGGTCAGGGAGGAGATCTGGCTCCCTCTTGCAGACTGCAGCCCCCTTTTACTTCAGCTACACTGCCCTCCCCATACCTGGGCGGTGCTGCAGTCTCATTGGGATTTCAGAGGCTGGCAGTGGAGGAAAGTCCTCAGGGGCTTCCCAGCTCAGGGGGCCTCCCACCTTGCGGGTTTTCCTCAGGCACTGGGCCCTCTAGGCGTCTGTCCTGTTCACGGTCTCAACACAGAGCTGTGGGGTGTTGGGGGTTCCTAGAAGGAAGGCAGTCATGTGCCATGGAGAAGGCTTATCTTGGGCCCCAGGGATGACTTCAGTTGGCCTTTTCAGTGGTGGCTTTAGGTCTCTTGTCAGATTTGTTTTTTTCAGCTTGAATTCTTACCAGTAAGAGAGAAGTTCTGCTGTCCCGGCAGCTGTCCATTCTTCTCAGACACCCAAGACATACAACACAGTAGCATTGCCAGGTAGGTCTTGGAGCCTCCCAGAAGGCGCCTTCTAGGCGCAGCTCCAGGAGTGGCAGGACTGTCCTGGTGAGAGCAGGGCACAAATCCAGGCAGGCTGCAGCAGGACAGACAGCCCCAGGGATCTCCCCACTTAGGACCTTCCAGCTTTCTCACTTGAAACAAATGAGACTTGGGAATTGTTTTTCCATAAAAGGGAAGAGAAATCAATGACTAATGGTCTGAATTACATGCTCCACTTAATCCCACTTTTAGTGTTACGTTGGGGAAGAACAGGCATTTGTCTCACGTGACATTTATAGGTCATTGCCATTCGGCCTCTGCTCCTTTACCCCATCTCTGAATTCAGACTTCCCACACCCCCAGCAGCCTGGGGAGCTTGGTTCTTGGCCAAGTCACTTGTACTCTTCCCTTGAGGTCTAGCAATTCTTTCTTTCCTCAAATTAAGCCTAGGGTCCCAGGAGTGCCAGGGGTCGTCCTTGTTGGGGAATAACAAGATCTCCTCAAGGTAACAAGTGCATGTTTATACTTTTTTTGGATTTTTTTCCAATCGCTAATTGTCAAGGGAGTTTTTCAGTGGAGTAGGACAAAACTCTCGATGTTAGACACTGAGTTTCTTGATTAGTTTTCCCAGGAGGACTTCAGGCTGCTCTGCACAGTCCCCGAGGCCAGGAGCCTTGCTCTGGAGCTTGGATGCCCCCATCCAACCGAGGCCTGGGACATTCGGAGCCCATCTTTCAGTCGTGCGTGTTATGGCCCTGACTATTCTGAGCTTACGTGGCATCTTGCTTCCTGCCTCCCGCTCAGATGGAGATTTAATGCCAGGGTAGCCTGGTCCCAGGCACAGCCTTCATGGCTGAAGCCAGCCTGCGAGAGGACAGCTGAATGGGGTTTATTGAGAAACGAGCTGCTTTGAGGCCAGAAAAGCTGTGTGAGCAAATACATCTTGTCCCACGGCCAGCGCTGCTGGAAGGCCTCTCGGAATCCCGGCGGGCCAGTGACTGCCACATTATAGGCTGTCCCAGAGGAAGCAACACCAGAGAGAATGTGTCAGCACAAACCAGGTCCGGTTCTATAAAAAGTGGGAAAGAGGCTACTCTTGCCTTTTTTTGTCTTTCTGAGTCAGGTTATGCTGAGCCTTGTTTATTACATATTTCCATTTGAACTCATTCTGCTGGGAATGACACCCTGTTCTTTGGTTTTTGCCTTCTGAGGTTTAGGTGTAAATTTTCTACCGTCTTGTACAAAGTGACTACTCAGAACAGGCAGCATGGTCAAAAATTCCTGAAGATGCTCAAAAATCAGAGTGTGTCATCAGAACTGCTAAGGCTCTTCCTCATTAGTCTTCACACAGGATTAAAGAGCCCTCCTGACACCTGGTTGGTCGTGAACAGGGTTTCCTGGGATGAGCTCTGTCGCACCCTGGTTTCACTCGAGCTGGTATTCCCTGATCTGTCAGGAAGAGTTTAGTGTGTTTCTGAGAGTGACACCTCAGCATGGTCCACAGCAAGGCAGGGATATCTCAAGTTGTTCCTGCCAAGTCCGAGGGGTGCTGACTGTTCCTGTTGGGGGTGGGTGAACAGGTGCCTTGTGCAGGGCTGCGCCATGACACCGCAGGTGCAGTTCCAGCAAACACAGCTTTGGGTCATCCATGGTGGCATGTGGTTCCCAAATGGATGCCTTTGAAAAACCTGATTTTTGGGCCGGCCCGGTGGTGCACTGGAGAGTGCGCCGCTTGGGAGTGTGGCGGTGCTCCCGCCGAGGGTTCAGATCCCATGTGGAGACCGGTTCCCGCTCACTGGCTGAGCGCGGTGTGGGCACCACACCAAGGGTTGCGATCCCGTTGCCGGTCCCCGGTACGGGCGCGACACCGAGGGTTGCAATCCCGTTACCATTCAGTAAAAAAAGAAAAAAAGGAAAAAAAAAAAAAGAAAAGAAAAAAACCTGATTTTTGAGTGTGTGGATGTTACTAGTAAAATCCTTTCTCTTTCTTTCCTCATCTTTATAAGTTGGATTTTGTATTTTTGGTTGGTTCAGAATTAAATTCAGAAAAAGTTTCTTTTCTTATTGTTTCCTACCTCTAACAAGCTCATTTGTGTTTGTTGATTAAAGCTTCTAATGGAAAAAATAAAGTTTCTGTAGGCACTTATGTATGTCTCTGCCATACTTAGGAAATCTGGTGGAAAAGAACAAGAATTCTCAAATTAGAGTCCTTAAAATTCTTTTTGGTTTTTGGGTTTTTTTTTGTCAGCTGGCCTGTACAGGGATCGCACCCTGGACCTTGGTGTTATCAACACCATGCTCTAACTAACTGAGCTAACCGGCCAGCCCTAGAGTCCTTAAGATTCTTTTTGGCTTACACCAATTCATTACTGGAAAGGGGTAATGACCCAGAATTGAATCTATTATTAATATCAGTTGCCACATTTTTCTCAGTTGCAGTGTTTTATTTTTTCATTTATCCCTTGCTCCGTCTAATGTTTCTTGAGCCCTGACTATGCCGCAGGTGGCTCTCTACCTAGGGAGAGGCACATCTGTGAACCAGTGATTGCATCCCGGGGCTCGAGGGGGGCACCTATGAGCCTGCTCAGGAGGGTGGCACAGAAGAGGTGACGTCTGCAGTTGAGTTTTGGAGATTCGGGAGGAGTCTTGTTATTTGCACAATTGGGGGAAGGACGTTCCAGGCAGAGGAAATAGTGCCCAGATAGGGAGGAAGCAGGAGCCTGGGAGGCGTATTTGAGAACTGTGGCCTTCTGGATGGCTCTGGCTGGAGGGAGGGGATGGTGGAGGAGCATCCCAAAGACTGAGCCTCCTGCCCCCACAGACTTTCAGTGGCAGGGACATCACAGGCTTGCAAGGTCACTCCCAGGATGGGGAAGTGGGTGGGTGCCCATGTGGGGCAGGGCAGCAATAGGAATGCTGTTTATCTGGGGTCCTGTACCCACTCTTAGTGCTCTAATCTGGTTTCTCCAAATATTTTGAATAGAAATCATTTTCAGAATCAAAATTTCAGTGTGGCTTCATAACCAAAGCCTGGTTTAATTAACTAGAGGAAACAGGCCAAAACTTACTGATCAGCCGAGCAGATATAGCTGTGACGTCCATGGAGCCCTGTCCTTAATGGGCAGCAGGACAGTGGATGGTCGGGATGGATGGATGCAAGGACCTGCCAGCGTGCTCATGGTGTGTGTCAAGGGCAGGGACTGAGCCCGCCTGTGCAGTTGTCATTGTTGCCCTAACCTAGGAGAAAGAGGGTACAATGGCGTGTGAAACATGAGAGTCGAGGGGAAACCACAGGTGCTGCCTCTCCCCTGAGGGCTTTGTGCCCAGGAGAGACCCATGTGCTGGCCTTGCTCCATGTGTCATTGATTCTTCATTCAGCAGGTCTGTGGCACTTTCCACATGCCAGTCTTCGCATGTATGATTGTACGGTAATTCCGGACCCTGAGCCTTTTCCTGTGGTGCCATCTTGTGGACACCTTCCCACTAACCAGCAGCCTTCATGGATGTGTGTTCCCACCTCCCACTTCTCCATCCCCGCCTCCGCCTGTGGGGACCACCTGAGTGCAAAAGTATGCGTGGACTCAGGAGCTGACGGAACCCCTCAGGCCCTGCTCTGGTGGGGAAGGTTGTGGCTGAGATGCAAACCTGTGGGGCTGCCTGGTCAGGTGCTGCCCTGGGCACTGCGCTGTGTCAGAGTGAGGGCCCACAGTGCTTTCCGCAGCTGCACTCGGCTCCTGCCTGCAGGCTCGGGGCTCCAGGCAGACTCAGCCTTGGAGCGGAAGTCACTCCTGGAATAAGACATTTGTCATCTCCAAAGTCTGGTCCTTGACACCATGTAACGTTTGTTCTTTGGTTGTATTTTCTCTCTCCTTCATAGGAGGATCGAACAATGTAATGATAATATTCACGGTTGGAAATACCCATCTTCCAAGTAGATCCTGAAAGCCTGTGTCCTACACACATTCTCTTTTCCAGGACCGTGAACTTATAATATGTCCTTTTCTCTCCTCAGTGTCCCCAACTCCTGCCCAGCCAGTCCTCGTGGTGCCGGGTCGTCTGGCTATCGCTTCGTCCAGAACGTGACCTCAGACCTACAACTGGCAGCAGAATTTGCAGCAAAGGCCGCCTCAGAGCAGCAGGCAGACACGTCTGGAGGGGACAGCCCCAAGGTCTGAGCTCTCTCCAGAGCCTTAGTCGCATGTAGTGATCAAGATCAGGTGATAGGCACCAGTGTGGGTGGCAGACAGCATGCTCCAGGGAGCATAGCACATGCCGGGAGCTTCGCTGCTGGTAGTGGGTAGAGCCATCGTCTTTCATCCTTTCCGCTCACATGTGACGCACTTTGGTCATCTGCTGACGGCTCGTGGTGGGTGTCATCCGCACGTCCTCAGGAGTATCCCCTTGTTCCATCTGCTGATGACAAACGGTTGCAGTTACAACTGGTAGTGGGTAGAGCCATCGTCTTTCATCCTTTCCGCTCACATGTGACGCACTTTGGTCACCTGCTGACGGCTCGTGGTGGGTGTCATCCGCACGTCCTCAGGAGTATCCCCTTGTTCCATCTGCTGATGACAAACGGTTGCAGTTACAATCTTTGAGAAGAATGGCCCACCTGTTTTCTTCGTGTTCATTTCCATCTGATAACTGTTTTAAAATCAGTTTGTTGAGGAAGCAAGAAATTTAAGAATTAAATGATGGGAACACCTAATTTTCCTTCCCATGAGGCAAAAACGGCTCTTCGTAGTTTAATGCAATCATGTTGATGAAATAGGTGGGGGTCGTTGGGATGGATTTGATGTAGACACGTGTGTCCTTATCGAAAGGTTTTCTCCTTTAGCAGGTGACAGGTGGGTGGATTGGGCTCTGACAGGTTTCTCCAGTTAACCCTGTGCTCTGTGTTTCTTCCTAGGATGAGTCGAAGCCACCATACTCCTATGCACAGCTGATTGTGCAGGCCATCTCCTCAGCCCCGGACAGGCAGTTAACGCTGAGCGGGATCTATGCCCACATCACCAAGCATTACCCTTATTACAGGACAGCTGACAAGGGCTGGCAGGTGAGGGCCTGAGGCCTGGACACAGATTGTGATTAACTGTCTTAGAACAAGAAACACTAACAGGCACGTCACTTCATTTAAAATAAACGGAAAAGAGATATAGGGATGTTTACATGGATGATGTATGGCACATCTAAAATGTGTTAGAGCTGTAGTACCATTGTGTCTAAAAGAGTCATTTGGGGGTGGGGGGGTGGTGCTGGCCAGTACAGGGATCTGAACCCTTGACCTTGGTGTTATAACACCGTACTCTAACCAACTGAGCTAAATGGCCAGCCCCTAAAATAGTCTTTTTTGTTAGGTTCCCTCCTTCTGATGCCCAGAACTGTGAAGACTGGTATATACCTTATTACATTTTTATGCTTGTGGTACATTATAATCTTATGCTCATTTGGAAGTATACTGTGCACATCATTTAAATACAATAGTCCACATGTATAAATTGTGTGTATTTTATCTTTGTATAGACTGTAAGACCTATGTCTGTATTAGGCATAGCTGACCTGTGTTGTACTTTTTTATATTTTCTCCATAGTCACTATTTCCCGTTTCCTAGTTTATTTAGTACAAGTTTTGAACATGGTAAGGTCCAGTCTCTTCTTTATCCCTGACACTCCTAGACCATGACTTGTCTGCTTTTCTTTTTCCATAAACACCAGTAATGATACTGTGCTGAATTTTGATAGGAAAAACTACAGTGTTTCTTTGTACTTCCCCAGTAAAACACATTTAACATGCCAGCACAGAGTCCTCTCCATAGTGTAGAGGATCTGTTCCCTGTCACCTCTGGTCCTGCATCCGATTCAGATTTGGGGCTGGTGGGATTTGTTTTCTGATGTGCTGTTAATTGGTGAATATCTCTGCTTCCCTGCAGAATTCTATTCGACACAACCTCTCTTTGAACCGTTACTTCATTAAAGTCCCACGTTCCCAGGAGGAGCCTGGAAAGGGGTCTTTTTGGCGAATAGACCCTGCCTCAGAAGCCAAACTTGTGGAACAGGCATTCCGCAAACGGAGACAGAGAGGCGTCTCCTGCTTCCGCACCCCCTTTGGGCCTCTGTCCTCAAGGTAAACTTCTCTGCGCTCAAGCTCTTAAGAAAGGTCAGCTTCCCTGGATGTACAGATTCCCAGTGTTATTTTGGGCACTTAAAAACTCCACCTTTTGGGTTGTCTAGTTAGCTCAGTTGGCTAGAGCGTGGTGTTATAACACCAAGGTCAAAGGCTTGTATCTCCATACCGGCTAGCCACCCCCAACCCCTCAAAAAAAAAAAAAAACCCCAAAAAACCTCCACCTTTTTAATTAATTTTAATTTTTTTCCTTTCCATAAGCTCAGTCAAGTGGTACCACACCTTTTTTATTTTGAGAGATCTCAGTACCAGTGAACTTATGTAAGTTAGTAAAGTTAATAAGTAAACTTCTGACTTCTTCCCGAACGTGTTAGTCCTCAGAAGCTGAAACGTGAGCAGCAGTGGGAGTGGTGCTCAAAACCAGCAGTAGGTGGGTCACAGCTTGTGGCGCTTATTGTGGAACCAGGCTTTCTGCTGGGGGCTTTGAGGGGACCCAGTGAGTGGTCACCTCCTTTCTCCCCTGATGGGAGACAGATGAGGAGGAAGACTGGTAGAGCTCAGAGCCACCTGTGCTCATAAGAAAGCCAGTGTGGGGGGTGGCTTCTGTCTGCTAGCCAGCACAGTCGGCAGAACTCGCCCCCCATCACCAGCAGCCCGGGTCACGGCCCTTCCTGCCCAGCTCATTTTTGGCCAATCAGAGTCCAGAGGAATATGCGCCGCCCATAGACGGGCCCTGGTGATTTTTCCCAAGGTTGCCCATCAGATGTCGGCCTCAAGCCTGGGTGAGGATATGGAGAGATGCTGCCTTCAGAAATCTTCCACGTGGGGGCCGGCCCGGTGGCGCACCGCTACAGTGCGCCGCTCGGGAGCGTGGTGGTGCTCCCGCCGAGGGTTCGGATCCCACATACAAACCGGTTCCCGCTCACTGGCTGAGCGAGGGGCGGGTGCGACACTGAGGGTTGCAATCTGTTGCCGGTCACGAAAAAAGACAAAAAGGAAAAAAAAAAAAAAGAAAAGAAAAGAAATCTTCCACGTGGAAGGAACGTTGCATCTCGTGCTTTCCATTTCAAAGTTCTGTTTCAAACATGAGTCTATGAAAGATGGCATAAATGTTTGAAAACTCGTTTCTGGTATAGGATATGTCATTGTGATTCTCAGGTGAATTGGTCATATTGGTAAGGTAGGAATTCAAAATCATTTGGAATGTTTCAACTGAGCTCAGATTTTCCAAAACACCACAGTGCTTGAATAGGAAAGTGGAAATTTTATTTGTAACTATTAGTTTGCTGGGGCTGTGTAACAAGTACCACAAACTGGGTGGCTGAAACAACAGATACTTATTGTCTCATGGTACTGGAGGCTAGAAGTCCAAAATCAAGATGCTGGCAGAGTTGGGCTGTTCCAGGCTTTTCTCTTGGCTTCTGGTGGTTGTTGACAACCTTTGGCATTTCTTGGCTTCTAAATGTATCACCCCAGCCTCTACCTTTATCTTCACATTGTGTTTTCCTTGTGTGTGTCTGTGTCCAAATTTCTCTTTTTTATAAGGACATCAGTCATATTGGATTAGGGCCCACCCTAATGACCTTACCTTAAACTTGATCACCTCTATAAGGACACTGTCTCCAAATAAGGTCACATTCTGAGACACTGGTTAGGACTCCAACATATCTTTTGGGGGACACAATTCAACCCATCACAATAACCAGCATTATTTTTCACTTGTAGGCTGGTCCATCAGCCAGCCAGGGGAACAGTTACTGGGGCTTCTCTGTGTGCCCAGCACTGTCCAAGAAACTATAAAGAGTGTCTGTAAAGGAGTACGTGGTGGTCCCTATCCAAGGTCACGCTTGCAGCTGGAGAAGCAGATTTTGTGCTGAGTAGAATGTGCATGGGAGAATCATGAAGGAAAACCCCTCTGGCCAGGAGGATAACGTAGCAAGACCCTGGCGTGAGCTGGAGGAGACTGGCTTGACTCGGAGGGAGGCAGATGTGTGTGCTGGGGGCAGGCAATCAGAAATGGAGTGATTTGGAAAGAGGAAGGCCAGATTAGAGAGGTCCTTGAAAGGAGTTTGCACTGTTGTGGTGAGGACTTGGGCCCTTACGACTCATGACTAGGGAGCAGCCCGGTCAGTGCTTGTTTGGGAATGAGTCACGTGAGTGTTGGAGTAGCAAAGAAGGCCTCCAGTCCATTGGTTGAGGAATAGCAAGCACTGAGAGAGATCTGGAAGAAATGACAGACCAGGCTTTAGGGCAGCATGGAGGAAGGAGAGTGTGCCAGGGTCTCTGCCCGAGGAGCCCAGGGTACCACCAGCACCGCCACATGCAGTGGACACAGCACGTGTGCAGTGGCCACAAGCGTCCACCTTCACAGTGGTGTTTGTAATGCGGATTATAGATGTAACGTTAAGACTCGCTTCCTCCCCTAGCCGCATCTGGCCAGTCCTGCATCCTGAGAGTGTGCTTGATGGTCCCTGGAGAAGACTCAGTTCCCAGGACTGAGTCTCCGCACTCACTTGCTGTCAGTGACTAACAAGAATGCTTTATTTTAGAACCCAGGTTAACAGTGACGAAGGAAGCAGGCTTCACTGGGTTATTATTTATGCAGGATAAACAGTTATGCTTCCAAAGCTTGTTTGGCTCTCTTAGTTAGAGTTTTCCTGGTGGAAAGGTTGTTCCCATCAGAAAGAAGCTTATGTTTTCTGACACAGAAGGCTGAACCACTTTCATGGAAGACTGGCCCGTACCTTTCAAGACATCAGTGCTGAGATTGTAGCATTGCTGGGAAGACACAGATAATGCAGTCTCCTCCCATTTATGTCCCCCCAGCTGATCCCCCATCAAATGGAGCTTTAACAGCTGACAGTTGTCACTGCCCAGGATGTTAGCATTGTTAACACTGCAGGAAGACAGAGAGAAGCACCAGGAGACATGGGACAGAGAGGACATGTGGAGCATGACACTGTGATGTGGAATGTTTCTTTAAGCGTCCTCTTCATTCTTTAGCATATGTAATTACTGTGACAGTCCTTTCTCTTTTTCTTTTTTAGGAGTGCTCCAGCTTCACCCACTCACCCTGGGCTGATGTCCCCTCGTTCTAGTGGCCTGCAGACTCCAGAGTGCCTGTCTCGGGAGGGCTCACCCATTCCACACGACCCTGACTTTGGGTCAAAATTAGCTTCTGTTCCGGAGTATCGGTATTCCCAAAGTGCACCCGGTAAAGAACGGTTTTGTCCCTTTACAGGATATGGCAGAATTCAAAATAGTGCCTAGGAAGGCAAGGGCTGGGAGAGGGTCAGAAGTTACTGTTCTCTCTCTGTCCCACGTTTAGGCTCCCCTGTCAGCGCCCAGCCCGTGATCATGGCCGTGCCTCCCCGACCGTCCAATCTAGTGGCCAAGCCCGTCACCTACATGCCAGCGTCCATCGTGGCCTCCCAGCAACCCTCGGGCCATGCAATCCACGTTGTGCAGCAAGCTCCCACTGTCACCATGGTCAGGGTGGTCACCACCTCTGCCAGCTCAGCTAACGGATACATCCTGGCCAGCCAGGGCTCTGCAGGGGGCTCCCATGAAGTGCTAGACTTGGGCAGTGAAGCAAGAGGTAAGAGAGCCGGAGCTCAGTGCATTTGCCACTGCCATCCACAAGGTGGCACCATCAGCCTGAGCCTCGGGCTTAGAGTCCACCTGTAGGGGCAGAGGCTCAAGGAGGTGGAGGAGGGTGGGTCTTGTGCATCTGGCCTTTTGCTGCCTGTTCTTTTGGGAGTATGTCCTTTTAAACCAGTACTAATTAGGACTGGCTGGCTAGCTCAGTTCGTTAGAGCATAGCCTTGTAACACTAAGGTCAAGAGTTTGGATCCCTGTACCAGCCAGCTGCGGGGGGGGGGAAAAAAAGAAACTAAAACTTAATCAGCACTAATTATCCTCAAATGCGTTCTTCCTTTGTTGAATAGTGCCTTCTGGTGCACTCAGCTGTTTCCTTGAATTTTTTTTCCTCTCAAGGTAACATTGAATTAAGTTGTGGGATCCCGCATAAAATTGGAATTTAACTTTTTTAAGAGCCCCTCATGAGGAGTCTTTAAAAGACACTTGGAGGGTCGATCTGTTAGCTCACTTGGAAGAGCATGGTGCTGATAATACCAAGGTCAAGAGTTTGGATCCCCATACCAGCCAACTGCCAAAAAAAAAAAAAATCATTTAGAGTACAAAGTAATTAGGAATATCTAAAAGAAATGTGGATCCCAGGGAATTAATGGGGTAGAGTTGAAAATGCAACTAACACTGTAAAAGCTCCTCTCAAGGATACTGTTAAATTAAGCAGCATCTCGTAAATAATGGTTATTTACCACTATTGACTTAATCTCAGTGGTCATTTTTTCTTTTAATACTGTGATAATGAAAACTGCATTTTGGTGAAAGAAGACTAAGTTATGATACTAAAAGCGAATCGTTTCATCCCAAATAATACATTTCTTTCTCAGATTAAATTTAGGTTGGTTAACGTTTAAAACGTTTATTTAAAATATTCTTCTAAAGCCTTACTATATTTCCTTTATTTTTATTTATTTAATTTTTTTGGCGGCTGGCTGGTACGGGGATCCAAACCCTTGACCCTGGTGTTATTAGCACCGTGCTCTCCCACCTGAGCTAACTGGTCACCCCCTGTTTTTCCTTTAAAACATGCTACAGCAGTGGGATTTTTCTTTTGAGAATCAAAGTTTTTCCAGTGCCAACTTCACATCCCCTCGTTGGCAGGCTTATTACCACCTTGGCCAAGTGTGGTTCTGAGACACTTTACATCCCATAGGCTTGGAAGAGAAACCCACCATTGCGTTTGCCACCATCCCCGCTGCCAGCCGAGTCATCCAGACAGTAGCCAGCCAGATGGCCCCAGGGGTCCCGGGACACACAGTCACCATCCTGCAGCCAGCCACACCAGTGACCATTGGGCAGCACCATCTTCCAGTCCGGGCCGTCACTCAGAATGGAAAGCATGCTGTTCCCACGAATAGTTTAGCCGGCAACGCTTACGGTGAGGCCCGCCTGTCCTCCCTGTTCTCCAAGCCCGCCTCCTGAGCACGGTGGTTCCGCCCGCAGTCAGTGCAGCACAGGAATGTTCTTCCAATATCATCCAATCCGTTCAATCGATTTATTGACCACCTGCTATGAGCCAGGCACTGTGATGATACTAAGGAAAGAGCACAAAGGAAAAAAACAGATTATCCCCATTGTGCTCGAGCTCACACTCTACCATGGGGTGAGACCGGAGGTCATGGGAGGAAGGAAGACAGTCAGTAATCTAGAGAGCAGGAAGTGCCAGGTGGGATGGTCAGGAGGTGGCAACCATGTAAAACAGGTGGAGCAGGAGCCGTCAGGATGTCTGAGGGAATCCAGAAAGAAGCAGCAGCTAGAGGAGCCCTGAGGCGGCAGCCACCTGGCAGGTGGGAGGCTCTCAGGGTGGTTGGGACAGGCAGGCTCAGGGAGGCAATGGTGCATGGCCCCACGAAGACCAGAGCAAGGTGGGAGCTGGCCAGGACTTGCCTCATGGTAGTAGATGTGTGGGTGAGCTCAAGATCCTGTTTAGTTTACTTGGCCATTATCCAGGTGATTTGGGACCATATTCAGAAAAATCAGTGTTGGTCCTAACCAGATCCCCAGAGTAAAAACCAAACCTCTTCTTCATCCACCCACAGCCCTTACCAGCCCCCTGCAGCTCCTTGCAGCCCAGGCGAGTTCGTCCACGCCAGTGGTGGTCACCAGGGTATGCGATATGGGGCCTGAGGAGCCAGCAGCAGCGGTTGCAACCAGCGTCACCACCATCCCAGCCACCACCACTGCCTCTGCCTCAGCCTCAGCTTCTTCCACTGGGGAACCTGAGGTCAAAAGATCCCGGGTGGAGGAGCCCAGTGGGACTGCGACCACACAGGCCGGGGTGATTGCAGCCACCAGCTCCCAGGGGCCAGGCACCGGGGAGTGACGTCACCTGCACGTGGGTGGAGTGGGATTCGCCAACAGGAACTTGGAGCTGGATCTGACAGTGTAGATGGACTGCACTCACGGAGCCAAGGAGGAAGGCTTTGCAGCTGCCTGCAGCATGTGCCACACGGAGCAGCTACATGCTTAGTCCTTTCCATTTTATCTCCTGTCCGCCCATGGCTTAAAACACAAACACATAAACAAGTTCAGACAACTGATTGTATGATTCTGGGAATTCTTTGTTTTTTTTCCTTCTCCCTGAGCACCATCCTCTCTCCCCAGACCTTTCTGTCAGGGGCAAGGGGGAGAAGATCGTAGCTCAGCGCTTCAAGGAATGTATCAGGACAGACCACCCACACGAAGGAGGAAGATCCACGGCTCAGTGTCCTTGTTGAGGGGGCAGCCTTCATCCCCTGGGAGGACTGGACAGAAACGCAGCATGGTACCAACCAAGGCCTTCTAAGGAAGAACGGGGATGGGGATGCATTCCTATTTGTGATAGATTGGGACTACACAAGAGAAAGAGGAACTGCCAAATTGCAAACTGTTTTAGGCTGTCCTTTTCCTAAAAATGACATAGAAAGTATTGGCATTAATTGGGAGTTTGGAGGGGATCAGGTTTGACTTTGGACTCCAAGTACTTCATGTTTTGTTCAAATGTGGAGTTCAGGCTTAATCATAAGTCTGCAGCAAACACAAAAGGAGTAGCACATTTTCGAGGTTTTCATCTGTAGACAGTTTAACAACTGTAGGTCTGGGATCTATCCCCTCAAAGAGTAAACCTGCCGCGCCATCTGGTAACTTCAAGGAAGATCAATGGCTTCCTCTGTAGGCGTCAAGGTAGAAAGTTCTTTGGAAGAAAGATCAGTCCAGAGTCAGTGGGCTGCAGCATGCAGGGCAAAGCACTGGCTGAGCCCGGGCTGCCAGTGCTCAAGGCAGAAGTAGGTTTCACGTATTTTGCTCCAAAAACAGAAGGGCAAGCCCTGTGCTTGTGGTAGCTCTGTGCTGCCAGATGCCGTGGGACATAGCAGCACTGGGCACAGTCGGCTCCCGCTACCTTCTCACCAAGATGCTGTTTCCTTCCCAGCCCAGACTCTGTCTCCTGTTGTAAATTGGAACCATTTCTTCTGCCTGAAGCACCAGGGGCTCTGGGTCAGATAGAGGAAGGAAACTACCTCTCCCAGCAGCAGCTGGCAGGCAGGCTTGTGCCCCCTTGGTGCTCAGCTCCTGCCACCTCGGTTGGTTTTGTTTGCAACATGGTAAGAACCAAAGGATCAGAAACTGTTCAATCGAGTGGCTCTGGGGGTCCCTAAGCAGCCCCTCCTGCATTTGCAGACAACTGGCAGCACTTGGAACTGTGTCACAGGACCCAGAGTTGAGCCAGAGCAGTCAACTGTTTAGCCCAATTTGAGGATAAGATTGGAGTCCTCCAGCATCTCTTGGAGAACATTTTCATGAAATGTTACAAGCATCTACGTAAAAATTGACTTAAAATGTTGCTAGTCACTCTGGTATTGATTCTTCTGGTAGTGGACCAGAACCAGAAGCAGCAACAAATTTGACACTGAGCTCCAGAAATCTCAGAGGAATGGGTTTTCTTCCTAGAAATAGCCTGTGTCAGCATTATAGTATCACCAGCAGGGCAGCTTCCTCTGCCCTGAGCCCTGATGAAAACACCAAAAAATCCAGTTTCATGGAAGGCATCTGAGAGAGTGGCAGATGACCCCACCACCACCACCACAAAGAACTGGGAACTAGCTAGGCATGTGCCACCTTAGAATGAAGGGAAAACACCTTCCAAAATGCCATGGAGGCAGTGTGGGAAGATTGGCACCGCATGCCAAGTGTGACCGGCTACAGTGGAGCTCATTGGCACGTGGGCGGGGTGGGTGGATAAGTCGCTGGCCCCATCAGGGCCAAGTGCAAACTGTCTTCTGGCTCTCTCCCTTCTGAAGCCTAGACAGGGAAAACCCCTGTTCTGGTGGCTTTTAAGTCCCCCAAACCAGTTGTTTCTGTGGCACTAAACTTTAAACAGGAAATAAGCTCGTTTTTGAAGTTCATGCCTGTTGCCTTGGGTAAAGTTTCAGAGAAATGGGGATAGGGTGGAAATACCTAGGGTGCCGTCCTCCCAGGGAGTCATGCTCCGACCCACATTCGGGTTTTCTGTCATTGTGCTACACTTGTTCTTTGCCATGTGCCTGGTGTATGCATGGGTGGGAGTGAGAGAGAGTGGCCTCAGTCATCCTGAGACGGGCTCCCCTTCTGCACTGATGCCCACATCTCCTCAGCAAGGCTGCCCAGATGAGGATCTGTGCCAAGGGGCTTTTGGGATCACCTCTTGCCTCTCCCCCTGCCTTAATTATTGTTTGTTCCCAGGGCCACGTGTGCTCATCTCAGAGGTGGAATCCCAGTTGTTTTGGACTGCCATGTGTGCCTCCTGGTGATGGCTGGCATGTCTGCGGTGGTGGGTCACAGAGTGTTTTGTCACATCTTGGTCTGGTCTTGATCAGTCTGGTTCTAACCCACTTGCTTTCATGGGTGTTGAGATGTTCTGGTTTCTGTCCATTATGTGATGTTCTTATGGTGCTTGCTCCAGGAGAAGGCAGTGGAAAGGGAGGTGTGTGGATGGAGCGGGGAAGCAGAGGGTACAGAAGCTCAGTGGGCAGCATTCTGCAACGTGGGGAGTCTGCGTCTTTGAGCTTCCATTGGACTGAAGACAGGAACAAGGGCAGCAACCCCTCGGGGTCAGCTCAGACTGAGCATGGCAGGGAGGGGAGAGCTGGGCCCGGGAACTACTACTGAGGGCTTAAAAACAATGAGTTGTTTTAAGGGTTTTTGCCACCCAGTCAGGCATGACAGGTAGCATGTCTGTCTCATGCCAGAACTTGGCCTGGAACCAGTAGCCAGGGTGGCCAGTGCCCGAAGGAGATGCACATCTCGGCCAGAAAGCCCTCCCCATGTGCTCTGAGCTGACCAAGCAAGGGTTTCCCAGTAGAACTCCTTTGTGGAAGCAAGAGCACAGGCCAGGGGACCAGGAGAACTGGATCCCAGGGTCTGGGGGGCCTGTAATTCACCACAGGATGGAACGAGGCCTGATCAACCTCCTCTAGGTCATCCAGGGTGGGCTGACCCCAGCGATGTTGGCGGGGGGTTGGGGGGGCAGCAAAAATGACTTGATTCCAGTGCATTGCTGGTATCACTGCAGGCATAGAGGACTGATGACCTGTTCTGTGATCACACGGGAGCTCAGGGCTTCTGGCACAGTCCATGGGGAGAGATCATCCAGGTCAAGGTGATGGCTCTGGGAGGGACTCCCTCCTGCCTCACCCTGTTCTGACAGGTGCTCCCTTGCAGATCCAGGTACCTGGTAACCCATTTCTCTCTTCTGCTTCCTACCTGACAAGTCATCAGGTTTACCAGATACAGGAAAACATTCTCTTTGGATAGGAAATAAGACACAAAAATAACTATTTTCAAATAGTTGATTACATCCTACAAAGACAGTCTAGCATCATGTGGGAGCAAGAAGGCTGCACCTGGATCTAAGGCAGCCACCAGGACTGCAGCCATCTCAGCAGTGCCATCAGCCCCTTGTCTGATGGAGGAGTGTGGGGACCACAGCCATTGAGGGCATGGTGCCTGGTGTCCCAGGCAGATAGTGTGTGTCATCATTAGTTGCTGCCTCTTTCTTTCCATGCTGAAGTTCTCCCAGAATACCTGGCCTGTGGTGAGAGTCTGTAATTCAATGCCTTTGAGGGACTTAAAGAGATTCTGCCTTTTCCCCCTGCTTTCTAAATCCTTAAAAGTTACACAGCTTGAATCCCCTTATAGGTTAGGTGTGTGCACTTTTGTGGCCCCTAGTGCTCTCCTTGTTTCACTTTAGAGGTCGCCTTATGCTCTGGGGAAGGCAGGATCCTGGTGTCTGGTCCCCTGTGCAAGAGACTTGCAAGGCCAGCGCTGGGAAGATACTGGGAGGAGACCCCAACCAGCCTGGTAGAGGCGTGTAAGGGCCATGGCCTGTCAGTTTCTCTCCTGAGGTCTAGCTTGTTCCTGTTTGGGGTTTACTGTTTATTTGTATTTTCTTTTTCTCTTATTTAAGAACTAAGCCAAATGAAAAAAGGTGGAAATGAATTTCTGAGTGGCTAAGATGAGCATTCTGTCATTGCAGTTACCATGTTTTGTGTTTCTTGGGCTGGGGGTATGGATTTGGTGGAGCTTTACCAGGATCGTGATCAGAGGCTCGCCCTGCTCCCTCCAGGCTGCCATGGGCCCCCAGAATGATTTCAGCTGAGGCTGGATCTCAGCCATTCAGCTCTTGGGTCCCTTCTCTGTACCTCACAGGCCCTGGTGAAAGATCGGTTTGAGATCACGGGCATTGTTCAGCTCATGCTCTTATTTCCTCTAAAATAAAGAAGGATCTCCACAGATCTTTCAAGGTGAGTTGTGAATCTCAACAGAGCCGTGTTGTAAGGCCTTCTCTCTGTAGACAGAAATCTCTTCACTGGGCAATTCAGAGAGTTCAGAAGGAGGAGGAAGCTTTTCTGTGGCTTTGGAGTCCATGTCTTACTTTATAAAGAACAAACCTCATTTGAAATATGAAAACTTAGTCGAGTGTGAGAAAATGTTAGAGAAGACAGGATTTTTCCTGTAGCTTTTAGAATGTAGAAATAAATACAGCTGGTGGGGGTGAATGGCCTTTTTTCCCTCAAAGCCTCAAATTCCGCTTTGCACTTGAGTGACTTCATGTGGTGTGAAGGACTCTTGCCATCTCTGGAGTGGACACCCAGGTCGGTCCTCAGCACTTCCCCACCACTCTGAGAATATAGACACCCCCAACTACCCCCCACCCAAAACAAAAGCTTCAGAATAACCAGTGTACCGCCTCTTGTTTCAGTGCTGAATAGCAGGCTACTTCCTTTACTGTCAGCTACAAAAACCAATTGTAAGATGCTCTACAAGTAAGGAAGGCCCCCAAATGCTGGATGGAAGCCTCATCCACACAGTGGGCCACACAGCTACAATTGGTCAGTGGCAGGGACAATGCTGGAAACCCCTAGCCAACTCTGTCACACTCCAAGTTTAGGCTTACAGTGAAAATGTGTTTGCCCACAGCCTTGTCCAAGCCTCCTTTATAATACCTCTGCCTAGAAGCAATATTATTTAATAAGATTAATTTAAATTTTCCAAATATGCTGCTATGAAGACAAGAATAATCTTT